CACAACGAACTATCTATGTCATACAAAAGAGATTAACCATCCATTGGAGAGGATAAAAATTCACAAAGAACTATCTATATCATATCTAAGAGATTAACCATCCATTGGAGAAGATAAGGCTTCACAACAAACTATCTCTATCATATCGAAGAGATTAACCATCCATTGGAGAAGATAAAAAATTCACAATGAACTATCTCTATCATATTGAAGAGATTAACCATCCATTGAAGAAGATAAAAATTCACAATGAACTATCTCTATCATATCGAAGAGATTAACCATCCATTGGAGAAGATAAAATTTCATAATGAACTATCTCTATCATATCGAAGAGATTAACCATCCATTGGAGAAGATAAAATTTCATAACGAACTATCTCTATCATATCAAAGAGATCAACCATCCATTGGAGAAGATAAAATTGATATATGGGGATAACTTCTCTGGGAATTAACAGACAACTCAAAAGAGACTGTCATTTTTCATCCAAAAGGAAAACCTAGGGACACACAAGATTCTCAAATAAAGAGACCAATACTTGTTGTAGTGTAATAATTTTGAGAGTCTTACAATATTGCTGTTGGGAAATAAGCTCAACTCCCTTGGGAATTGCAAAAAAAAACCTACTAAGGAGATAAAGTCTTCAGCGGGGATCTTCGAAAGAAGTGCAAGTCATCAATCTTGCAGAATAAATTTCTTCAAATAAAGAGAAAGTCTCCAAATGTACAAAATAAATGCATTATATATCCAGAGTTTACTGCCAAGAGAGATCCAAACAAACATATTTTCCAGAGACAAGGTTCAATCCAGGAATAAGCTGGAGAGAGACAATCAAACAAGACTCTCCCCAACGAGGAATAAACTCAACTGGGAATTTATCCTTCCCAGAGATGGACGAGAAAGCTAAAGGAAAAAACTTTCCACGAGGAACAAACTCAGTGGGGAATCAAAAGGAATATACACCTTTCTTCCTATAGATGACACTCTATTGGAAGGAGTAAAGACATCATTGGGGAAGCGAAGTACACTACTTTGGGATAAACACAATCGATAGTAAGTGGACTCGGTAACATCGAGAAATGCAAATATGTATGGATGAATGAATGAATGTCATGTATATGCTGACAAAATAGATAAATAGATGATAACACTAGGGATGACAAAACAACAACAAGGTACAAACGAAGCACTCGGCCAATCTCAATAAGATGGAATTATCACTGGAGACAAAACAAAGGCCACTTGATAGAGCAAAGTCCTACTACAAAGCTTAAATCTCTTTGGGAGAGGAGGATACTTCTTGGGAAGAAAACCCAAAATACAACATTCTAATCATCAATAGTCCATCAAAGAGACAACAACATGAACTCCATTTTGAGGAAAGGATCCGCTGTGGAGAAGAACCATGCCCAGTTGGAAATACCTGAATCACGGCTTAGCTGGGATCACCGGGGAACACCGCCATCTGATAACATTTGCAAGGCATATCACATATTTTGACAAATCTGGATTGCCTATGGAATTAAAATTGGGTTCCCCAAGTTTACTACTGATAAACTGCATGTCATAAATGGACAACAGTTCTTGCGAATAAACGTCAATTTTTAAAATGACCCAAGTTACATGGTTTATGAGAAGAAATAATCCCAAGAGGATTTTAAAGGAAACCTGGCATCCAAAATGTCCCATTACCTTCAAACTCTAGGAGAGATTCAGAGAATCCCGACGTGACTGCACCAGATTGACTTTATTTGGAATTATAGAGTCCTTAAACTTTTCCCCATAAGGGGAAACAAGCTGCGAAAGCATCAACTGGTAAAGCAACCTGCTCATGCTTAAGGTCTTCAGGTAACATGCCCCTGGATATGATTATTCTTTGAAATAATTTTCCAATTACCCAACAAAGTTTTAGGCCTCAAAATGATTAAACTCACCACTGATGCTCATATTCAAGCTTCTTTGATGTTAAACAAATGTTCGCAAGCATAAAAATTTTATTCAAAGAATGAAAATTCTCATGCAACAGTTATGTAAGTCTTGAAGTTTTTTTTTGAAAAGATGTTGCAAAATCCTGTGAACGAATCACCAGTTACTGAAACTTTTAATTTTTTATGAAAGATAACAAAAGAAATATGATACCAACACAAATATTTAGAAAAACTCATGGGAGTCAGAAATGCTATCTCGTTGAAACATGCTTTTGAAATAAACCCTACTTCAATTAGGACTTTCAAGGGTTATAATGTGGCCTGGTTCACGGTTTTTGAGAAAAAGATTTTAAGGCTCAAATTTTATTGGTGCCCACCCACTCTTCATGATGTTCTTCAGTCCTATGTTCAATTAATTCAACATGAGTGTTAATATATTAGGAAGAACTTTGTGATGGTTAAGGAACCAAAGCGGCTTTTAGAGTAGCAGTCACACTTTTTGTCTTTGTATTTGTAGTCGCACGGATTCGTTCTTCGATGAGGACTTTTATTTGTAGTCCTTTATTTGTAATATTTTTGCTCTTCCTTTTCATTTTATTTTCCCTAACTTTTTCCAATATTAATTCATTTTAAATAGATAGTCCAGCGGTGTTGCTCCGCTAAAAAAACATAGAGTCGCCACTGAATACTATTTATCCTGAAGGAAGGGAAGATATCGAGAGAACTCCAAAGGAATAGATAAGATGGTCTTGAAACCAAGAGAAATGGTAAGGAAGTCGGTTATGCAAGGGGAAAGTATTAGCACCCCACACGTATGTGGTACTCCACTGGATCCACTTTTGTTTATTCTCATCTAAGGGTGTGTAAAAATCTATGTCTAAAGCTTACTGCTAAAAGGGAATGCATACGAAAGAAAATAAGAGGAAAAGAAGGAATGTTTACAAAGTTTTTCTCGCCTAGGCCTCGCAACCTAGTGTCTATGTACTCCCTCGTGCAATGGTAAATTCAAAGATCCGTAGTTCAACTCACATCTTTTGGTTTGTTTTGTGTTTTTTAATTGAACAATGTTAAGTTTCGCATTTTACCACAACTCGACCTTTGGAGACTCACGCGTCTGTAGTAGAAAGGAACTAACACGTTCATACCTGACAAGGTATCTTCAAAACAAAAATGCCCAAAGGCGGATAATTCTTCGCTCACGACTCTTTGGCGAATAGACATGGTACAACCCGACCTTTGGAGATTTATGCGTCGTACCGCCTAAAGTAGAATTAACACATCCTTTTGAAAGTTTCAATGAAAGGCCCAAAGGCGAAAAGAGTTTGGATTGGTTAATGTTTTTTACCTTGAAAAAGGGTTTTTGTATTATTAGGGTGTCTTTGAATTTTGAAAGGAAAAAGAAGGTTTTAGTTTTAATGCACATGCAAAAAAGGGAAGAAAAATGCTAAAAGGGAAATATGTACCTACGCTAGCATACCAAAAACCTAGAAAGTGAGGATAACTATTTTATAGGGAACATGTAAAGAGATTAAAGTCGTTATCTCAAATTCTAATTGAGTGACATTATCAATCATCAAAAGAATAAAACCACAAAATCCTACGGGGATCATGCAAAGATCAAAGTCGTTATCTCAATTCTAATTGAGTAACATCATCGATCGCCAAAAGAGAAAATTATAAAATCCTATGGGGAGGATGCAAAGATCGAAGTCGTTGTCTCAATTCTAATTGAGTGACATCATTGATCGACAAAAGTGAAAGCAATAAAATCCTATGGGGAGCATGCAAAGATCAAAGTCGTTGTCTCAACTCTAATTGAGTGACATCATCAATCGACAAAAAAAAATACAAGCACAAACACAAATATCAAATAAATGCGCAATGCCTGCTACAGGTCTTTAAACAGAGACTTCGAGCGCACACTCTTTATTTCCTACTTCTCATGATATCTAGAAAAACGGTAAAATACAGTAAAAGGTGCAAGGGATAAAAGGAAACAGGCGAGAATACCAATCAAACAACGGTTTGTTAGCAAAGAAAGAAACCATGAATACATTAAGCAAGCTTCACCAAGAAATCACAATAGTCAGAAATAATATCCAATGAATATCATGTGCGGAAATAAATTGCGAGCCATGGATGCAACGCATAAATAAGAGTTCTTGCACACAATACATATCTAGACAATTACGCAATCCAGAAAAAAGCGCAAATAGTATATTTCTCATGAAATGAGAAACAAGGGTGAATTGCATCAGAAGTGAATCTCAAACCAAATGCTTTTCAATCAAATAACCAACAATAAGTTACATGATTGAAAGCTTCTCATAGTGTACCTTGCACAAGTCATAAAATTTGTTAGCAAATAACAACGCAATATCAAGATTGGAGTTATACACTTCCATCACAACTGAACTTACCAATTAAGCATGAAGAAATCGAACACAAAAAAGCATCAGAAAGTGAAAAGTTATTTGCAATTATCAACTAGATCCGAATTTTAATGTCAGAATAATAAGTTCAAACATTAACCATTAAAATCCATCTAGAAACAAAACCAACATGTGAGATTAATGTCACTTTCCAAAAATTACAGAAACTTTGAAGTTGATTCTGACACCAAAATGAATCGTGATTAGCAATTGCAAAAACACTTTAATAGTTAATCCACCAATTCCACTTTTCAACATTAACAAACTGTATTAAATAAAAAAAACTCAAGGTTCAGGAGCAAATTGTTATCAAACACAACTTCACAACGTGACTCACAACGTGACTCTGTATCTCCAGAATTCATTTCAAAATTCACTTTGTGAACAATTCACATTTCAAAAGTTAATACAATACACAAATTCAAAGTTATCATGATTCAAGAATCAACGCAATTAATCATTCAGATCATACAAATCTAACCTATTCCACATGCTTATGTCATTGGACTTCAAGAAAATAGGATTTACAGCTTCAATTTAATTAATCTTGTATTCCTTAATTAAGCACTTATTCCATCAAAATCAATTAACAAAAGCAATTAATCATGTGAAATTAGGAATTGTCGGATCGAAGTTTTAATCGGTGACGTTGAATCGGAGTGAAAAAATGAAAGAGTCGGCTGAAATCACGAATGAAACAACGAGAATTTTAGTTGTGACGGTCGCTTGATGAAGCGTGGCGGACGGCTTGGATGCTGGCGGTGGGCGCTTGCTTAGGCATGGCGGACGGAGTACAAGGAGAGAGTGAAGGTGGCTGGAGCCACTTTCTGAGAGAAGAGAGAGGTGGCGGGAGCCACTAAAAGGTGTGGCTGGTGCCACTTGAAGCATGGCCGGTGCCATGAAGTTGTGTGGTCGGTGCCATGGATGAGAGAGATGGAGTATGGCGAGCGTGAGAGGAACAAATATGGGGAAGAGAATTTTCTTTGAATTTTTCAGATAAAATAGAGAAAATTCTTGAATGTAAAACTTGGAAAATAATTTCATATCCTTAATTTTTTGAAGAGAGAATTAATATATAATTCCTCCAATTGGGCCTTGGATTTGGATCTGGATTGCGCCTCAATTTGACAGTGTAAGCTTAATACGAGCACAAAATACCACGTATTCATATGTGTGAAATCTCGGCTCGATCTCAACACGAAAATCGAAGATTAAAAAATTTGTGACGTGATGTTGAAAGAACAAGCTCAATCGGATAAACAACGAGAAAGTTATGAATTTTCGAAGTTGCTCAGACGCAGTGTCATACAAAATATTTCAACTTGCATTTTTTTCACTTGTGTCATATGCGAACATAATTTTTGAAATTATTTCGAAAGAACCGTCTCAATACTATAAAAATCGAAGAAGTTACGATTTTTACAATATCTGAAAACGGTAAAATAAAATTTTGGTTCAGCACTATAAAATCTCGGGTAATTCACACTTTCGGGTATCTTCTGCAAGGAATCAATTCTCGGTCCGAACATACGGAATGAAGATAAAATCAAGAAGGATATTTTCTCGAAAGAACGGATCAAAAACATTGCTCTAGGAGAAAGTTATGAGTTTTCGAACATCCGAGAAAATAACGATCAACACAATATTTTTATCGTTTTTCCATTGTTTCCTCTCAAAGTATCTGCGCGTTCAGAGATTTTCCTCAAAGAATCGAATTTCGAGCCGAACATGAAAGTTGACATAGATAACAAGACAGTTCCGACGCCTCAAGAATCCCTCCAAAACAGTATTCCAATCAGAAGTTATGAATTTTCAAGCGCTCGCGTACGATGTATCAACAATCAAAATCAGTACACTTTCTTCAAAGAAATAAAATTCCCAGAGGTTCTCTGCACAAAATTAACCTTCAACCCGAACACGAGAAATGAAAAGGAAGTCAACACGATCTAAATTCTCGAAGAATCAATTTAAAATACCTTAGATGAAAGATACGAATTTACCAACGCCCAAGAAACAGATAACCAGCCATTAAATTCAAGTACCGCTTTGGGGAAATCAGATTATTTGGAGATATTTTGAACATAATTGGCTTCCGACTTGAATAGATGAAATTGAGAAAATACCGAGACAAATCCAATTCCTGAATAATCAACTCAAAACAATATATGAATTGCAAGTTATGAATTTTTGAGCTCAAACAAGTAAAATCACTGTTTCTGATATACGCCGTCAAAAATCCACTGAAACACCCAATTCCTTTGCAATTCAGAGTATGCTGAGATACACGAGAGCTTGTCATGACGATGTCTTGATTGATCATTGATTTAATGGCTTGTGAATATCCGGGAATACATTCAAACCTTGAAAATCAGAGTTTTGCCTTGTTGCATTGTCAGACGCAACAATCTCTTTTGTGCGGCTTATTGGAAAGAAATACCTTGATCCCATGATTATTAATGATGATATGCAATGCTAGATGACCTATTGATGAACATTCATAAGTCATATGAGCCTTAAAAAGGGTAGAACAAATTTGGGGTATGACTAGCGGAATGCCCTAATTTTTCCTAAGTCACTTTGAATTAGCATGCTTTTTCTTTTTCTTTTTTGACTTTTGATTTGAACAAATTGTAAGACATTGACTTTGTCTTGACTTTGTCAAAAAGGTGTTGACTGCCTTTTTTTTTTGCGAATGAGGGATAACCATTATGGTTTCACGTCTCTTCGACCTCTTGATGTGTGAAGGATAACCATTGTGGTCTCTTCAAAAGTGCATTCCTTTTGAAATTTGAAAACTCGGCCAAATTAACTAAAAACTATCCTGCCCCAAGTTAAACATGAGGGTTTTTTCATATAAAATAAACTCCTACTTAAAGTCTCAAAAGGGGTTAACAATGGATTATGTTCCTTATATCTCCAGTGTTTATGGATTTGAAACAATGCATGTACACCATCACTAGGGTTTTATTCAAAAGCATACGACTAGAAATTTTGCATTTTCATATCATCATCCTCCCTCCAATTTCTGTCTGGGCAAGAAGATTGGTAGCATTTGGTATCATAATGCAAGAAAAAAACAAATTAAAATTAAAACAAATATGAGTGAAATGAATGGATTTCTTCAAGACAAACATACCCATTGCATTATCATTATCATTCAAATGCAAACAAGGTCATACATGCAAGCATTGTATTATTAATCAAGAAAGAGTATGAGTGGCAAAACAATAAATGAAACTAAAGACTGCCAATGTCAAGCAAGGACTACAATCCCGTCCCTATGGTGAAAACGTGATAACCTTTGAATCGATGAGGTCTTGGACCTTATGCAAGAACTGAATTAATCATAGGGATCATCGGTGCCACATGTTGGTACTCATAGTGATTATATCTTCTTATGGTTTTCTTCATCTGCCTCCTTGGTGAAATATCATTGAAAACCTGCATCTTGCTCTTCGGGAGATCATTATCACAATTCTTGATGCCATTGACAAAACCACCATCCTTAGGTAAATGTTTATCTCGGGCAACCTTTTCCATGAGCACTACCTTTGTCATCTTTTTTTCCTTCATATGAGGACTGACTTCAGTGATAATCAAAGCTTCAACCAGAGTAGTCAGGTGCTCCATACCAACTTTCAGTTGTCACCTCTTTGTGGAGTTAAAATATATTTTGCTTAATGTTTTCCATATTCTCTTAGAACAAGTGTTGTAATATTGAGACCAATGGAAAGGAAATAAGACTCTGGAAAATTCTCTAGAGCAAGACCAAAATATGGAATAATGCATGATATGCAAATGATGGTTTTTATTTGACTTTCAAAGAACTCAAGATATTAAAGTGTAAACATCAAAGCATGAAGATAGAAAGATAATCCTAAATTGGATCAAAGCATCGATCAAGTAATCATCAAAATCAATTATCCATTTTGGTGGATTAGGGTTTTCACCCTATTAACACCCAAGTACCATTGAGTTTGATGAAACTTATAATGTTTACAAAGAAAGACCTCTATGTTCCTTGAAAACCAAATGAAAAAAAGTTTCATGGATGCATGAATGTGTGGTTATGCAACATTCACAAACATGGTTACAAACAAGGTTTAAGGGTTTTAACATCATGAGCATGGAGTCATGGGTAAACACTAACCAGAATGTATGTACTATGGGTTTATTGTACTTGTAGAATGTAACACCCCCTAAATCCCCGCGCAAATATATGACATAATCAGAGTAAATTAGTATGCATATCAAAGAGGGTGTCACATGTACTTCACAATAACAATACATACAACGGTCATGCTCATAACACACATTTAAAATCATGTTTCATACACTAACACATATGCATCTCACAAGAAAATAATTCTCTTTCATAATGCTACCAATAATTGAAATCCGATAATGGCAATTATATAATAAAACATTAGGTACTAAAGGCCACTCATCACATAATCTCAAAATACAACATGAATAAAAGAGAGTATAACAAATATCTCTAAAAACAACACGAGTTCAAACGTTCTCCGTGTTACATGACCATAGCATGAATCACTACTTACTAAGCGGATAAAATAAGAGCTAGATCCTCTGACTAATCCTTGCAAGAAGCAGCACTATCTTTGGTACCTGAGCGATGTCGTCCAAAATATCATTCCATTAAAAGGGTGAGAATTCACATTATTACAGAAATATATAATAATAAGTAATGCTTCATATACAAGCAACAATTGAACTCATCACAACTCACATAATCATGTATCCAACATATTCCAATCCAATTCACATGTTTACATATACAACATTTCTTAATGATTCATATCCAAAGATAATGAATCACAAATACCACAAATGTAACATTCACATCAATATCAGATATTTCACACAAATTCAACATTTCACATCGACACATGTGACTCCAATGCAACTCAATGCAATATGCATGTGGTACCAATTGCTATCCTTAACGGTTTTTACATTTAAACCGTGTCCATTCCTCAGACGGATAACCACCAAAAAAACCCATCCCTCAAGCTTTCAAACTATTCTCCTAGGTTTGGAACAAGTCACTAGCTTCCACAAAACTAGCAAACATTGTCTCTTCATAATAAATGATGCATGTGAAATCTCAATAATCATGTGAAATTAAAACCATCCCTCAATCTTAATCATACAAGCATACATCACTTAATTCATTACATTTGAATTATTATCACCACTAAACAAACATACATATCACATGTTATCAATCATATACAATGCATTCTCATATCATTAATTAACTCAACATACCATAATAACACATAGCAAACAATGTCAAAATATGTTATTCTCATTTATCATCAATTCACAACACACATATACAAAAAATCAGGTGTTGTGTTTTCATCAAAAAGTCATCCAAAACCTATCCAATACACATCTAATAAATTATTAAAATTCATGGAAATCCCTTATAAATCATAAGCATACAAGATCCCTAATCATTAAAAAAAAATACAAAATGTTGCATTGCACTCTAGAGCTAAGTGCACTCTTTCGCGCTAAGCGCCCTCAAGTAAGTAGCTTTCGCGCTAAGCACGAAAAATCCACCCTAAGCGCGCTCTGCGATATCTGCAAAAAATATGAGAATTCAGCAGCGCACCAGTCCGAGTTTCGACTCCCAAAACCCATTAAAACTCATATTTTCACCAATTAAACACATAACATCCTATATCTAACATATAACTTCCATCATAACATCAAAACATGTTTCAAACATCAATTTAATAGATTTCAACTCAAAATCCTAACATGTTAAAATATAGAAATTAAAGAACAAAATCCCTAAATCATGAAACTACTCATTACATACTTTTATATAATCCCATAATAAGCAAATTACCCACCCTTATCTTGGATGTAGATCCTTTCTAGGGTTCTATATTTTTTCTTCTCTTTCTCTCTTTTCTCCTATTTTCCTCTTTCTTCTCTTCTCTTATTTTGACAATTCTCTCTCTTTGTTTTACAAAACTCTTGCTAAATATGTTCTCACTAATGGGCTT